CTCTCGTGGATGGCCATTATCACATCTACAAGAGCTTCCATGCCACGAAGTACACCGGGCTTTGCAACCATCGAGGCGAGCCAACAAATGTCGTATATAGCTTCATGCAGCAGCTCGAGAGGATCCACCGCGAGTGTGAGCCCTCGCACATGGCAGTGATTTTGGACAGCAAAACCTCGTCTTCCTCACGGCGAGAGGTGCTGCCAGAATACAAGAAGCATCGGAGCTGCCCTGAGGAGCTTCTTGTGCAAGTCCCGAAGGTCATTAAAGCCTGTAACGCGATGGGCGTGCAATGGCGCACCCACGAAGACTTCGAAGCTGACGACGTGATCGCCTCGTACACACGCCGATTCAGCGCACAGGAGCCCAGCGGGCGCGTAAAGATCGTGTCAAGTGATAAGGACCTTCTGGAGCTGGTGGGCGACCGGGTGGAGCTGCTCTACAGCGATCCCCGAAACCACCAGGCTCCCTTCGTCTCGATGGACAAAGCTGAGGTTTGGAATAAGTGGGGTGTTCGACCGGAGCAGATGCCAGACTTGCTGGCACTCATGGGAGATGCCGCCGACAACATCCCTGGTGTTCAGGGGATCGGAGCCAAGAGAGGAGCAGCACTTTTGCAGCACTGTGGCAGCCTGGAGGCCATCGTTAGACGGGCACAAGAGGGCACCCTCTCCGTGAAAGGCATCTCCCCAAGGCTCTGTCGCTTGTTGTGCGAGCAAGGCCCGAGAGCTTTGGATCTGCTGGAGCGGGTCGTGCGGCTCAAGGAGGTGTCTGTGGAGCCGGAGTTCGACCGCTTCAAAGTGCCCGAAAGGGATGAGTCCTGGCATGACCGTGTCGCCACCTTCTGCGACTCCGAGGACATGACGAAGCTGAAGGAGCGCTTGAGCCGCACCAAAAAGGACGAAAGGGGCCGTATGCACGGAGAGCGCGGAGACTCGGACTTCAGTCGACCTGTAAGCAAGCCGCCCGAACGCCAAGACACTGGCAAGGTTCTCGAAGTTCGGACGCTGGACGAAGCCCGAAAGGCTTTGGACCTCTTGCGAACATATCCGGACGCAACCTTCGCCGTGTTCTCGGCGAGCGACGATGAACATCCGAGACCGCCAAGCCTCGCGATCTATGGAGGCCCCTCCGTCTGTTTAGGGCAGGGCAAGACCAAGGTTTGGGTGGATCTCCTGGAGAGTTCTGAGGAAATGCTGGGCTTGTGGAGGGACTTTCTCGCAGATCCTCAGAAAAAGGTTTATCACATCTACGCTGAGACGCAGCGTGGCTTGAGCTGGGGATGCATCCCACACATCCCAGAAAGAGGTGGCTTCGTTGCGGATGTAATGCACCTGGCACGCCTCTGGGATCCGACCTTGAACGAGCTGACCTCAGAGGGGGCCTACTCATTAGCATGGCTGGCAGAGACCCTTTTGGGCGCGACTTGGAGGTTGCAGCGGCCTCAAGGTGAAAGCGGGAGGAAGAAGATCGCTGACCTGCAGCAGGGGAGATGTAGGGAGGACTGGATCCAGCTATGTGCAGACAGTGCAGCGGCTGTCTTTTACCTGCACCAAGAGCTTCAATCGAGATTGGCGGACCAGGCATGGCAAGCTCCCAAGGAGGCCCTCCCCGCATCGACAGCCTCACTGCTGGACTTCTACACGGAGCACTGGCAGCCCCTGGCCATGCTTCTCTCGGACATGGAGCTCCGGGGTGTTCCCGTGAACCGTCAGAGGCTTTCGGCGCTGATCTCCGAGAGTTCCGCCGCCCAGGCGTCGCTCCAAGACGTTTTCTGCAGCTGGGCGATCCGTTCGGGTGGCCTCGAGGAGGCATCAGCCTCTGCCTTGAATTTGAACTCGAACCAGCAGGTGGCCCATTTGCTGTTTGGTTCTGGGGAGAGAGAGTTTCCCGGCTCTGTCCTCTCGGCAGAGGAGCCTGCCATCCAGCTATTGCCAGAAGCCGAGCTGTCGTCCAAGAAAGTTCCAGAGCTGAAAGAACTCTGCAGAGAACGGGCTTTGATGGTGAGTGGTAACAAGCCAGATCTCATCCAGCGCCTTTGCGATCCTCAAGTTCAGGCGCAGGCCAGAGCAAGGCGCGCCCCACCACCCTTGAAGGTTCGAGGTCTCGGTCTGGACGAAGACGACACGGTGACCCGCACAGCTCGTACAGGCAGCGTGCAGCTGACTTTGGAGACCTTACAAGCACTCGCAGAGCGGGAGGAGCAGCTGCAAACGGAGGCCGCGGAGCCTCTGCAGAGTTTGTTATGCTGGCGCCAACACGAAGCACAGTTGGGTTTCTTGCGACCCTTGCAGAGTGCCTGTCACGGAGATCGGGTCCATGCGCTGCTGAACCTGAACACGGCCACAGGCCGCCTGTCCACTCGAAGCCCGAACTTGCAGGGTGAGCCGAAGGGCGGTGGCCACACTGTGCGCTCCGTGGTGGCGGCTCCTTCAGGAAAGCGTTTGCTCGTGGCTGACTATGGCCAGCTGGAACTTCGGCTGGTAGCACACTTGTCAGACTGCCCCACCATGATCTCCATCCTCGCTGAGGGAGGCGACATCCACTCCCGAACTGCCTACCACATGTTCGAGGAAGTCCGGCAGAGTGTGGACGAGGGGCAGGTGGCTTTGGAGGGCGATTCTGGGGGAGTGACGGTGAAAGATCATTTCCCGGAGCTACGCAAGCGCGCCAAGACTCTGAATTTTGCTTTGCTGTACGGGAAGACGGCTTTTTCTTTGGCCAAGGACTGGGATTTAAGCCAAGGGGAGGCTTCTGGCATAATCGATCGCTGGTTTCAAACTTTCCCAGAGATCGAGGCGTGGATGAAACACTTGCACCAAAACGCCGACAGCGGCACTGGTGCTACGGCTGTGACGCTGCTTGGCCGGCAACGGCAGCTGGGGCGGTTGACTGGGCGATCCTTCAAAGAGCGGGGGCGCACACGGCGCGTAGCAGGCAACACACCTGTGCAGGGCAGTGCGGCAGACGTTGTCCTGAGCGCCATGGTGAAGGCGGAACGCTCAGAGGTTCTCCGTCGGCTTGGCTATCATCTCGTGCTGCAGATCCATGACGAGCTGTTGTTGGAAGGACCCGAGGAGAATGCCAACGAGGCCCTGGCAGAGTTGGTTCGCCTCATGGAAGATCCACTCCCCTTCAAGCTCAGGGTGCCCCTCAAAGTGAATGCCAGCCACGTGCAAACCTGGAAGGAGGCCGAGGTTTAAAATTGCGAAGCAGATACACACTTCCTGTTCACTGAGAACCCCTACTACGCATGGTCAGAGTCTTCCCAACTCAGATGCTCCGTGCACAGCTCTCCCTATGGGACATCCGAGAACTGTTCTGTTTGGGCGTTTGGTCCCGAAGCCACAAACACCTGTCAGCCCGAAACCCTACCAGGCCCAAGACCTAAAGCCCCAAACCAGTGACCCTCAACAGACCTCGAACCCTTTGTCTCGCCTGGATTGTCCAAGTGTGAGTGCCGAAACCAGTGACTTCTGCCTTGAGCGAGCGTGAGAGTCGAAACCAGTGACCTCGCCCGGCTGTGCCCAGTTGCGCTTGATGAATTGGATTCTTATCACCAGTCCCTAGTATTTTCTGCATTCCTACTAGTATGAATAGTGGGAAGCCGAGCTTCACCTCAGGTCACCCCAGGGCCAGGTGCTGAGGAGGCGCCGGTCTTCCGTGATCTCCTTCTCCTCAACATCAGTTTTATCCCTACTATCGTGACACTTTCAAAATGACACGGCTTAGTACTGCCGTTCTTGCCACTACAGTTGTCGATGTCGCGGGTGTTGCTCTGCTTGTTTGTTGCGACTTCGGATTTACATGTAGGCTGTGTCTGCCGAGTGTCGGTTTTGCTTTAGTCGAGGTGTCGGGCTCCCATGACCCAGTGGAAACTAGCAGCAAGTTCCGATGCTTCGGGAGGTTGGGGCGCTGTCACACTCTGCAGTATAGACAGATAAGCAAAGAACAAAGATTGTGTGGACAAGCTCTGCAGCTCTCGCTTTCTCTCCCTCCCTTCCTTGATGTAACTTCAGCCAAAGAGGCACTCAGCACTTGCGATCGGTGACCGGCTCGTGGATGTAAGATCCAGGGTTAGAGGAACTTGAGCTAGGTAAGCTGCAAGGCCTATGCTGCCACAGCTTAGGGCCCAGGCAGTTTATGAGTCTTATGAGGTGTGCGGTGTATGGTTCGGGCAGTCATACATTTCTATAGTCTGTGCGGCATTGTGCGGCTGAACACGGGCCAATTCAGCATCATTACATATCATACGAAAATATTGTCTCTCAACGACATTGTAATGATTGAGTATTATGCACAATGTGTAACAATATTGAATCTGATCTCCAGGAAGGCCGCTTTGTGGGCGGCCGTGGTCGCACGGCTGGCCGGTCAGATCATGAAGGGGACACCTGGTCCGTATAGGGCTGCAGTATTCCTGTTGCTGCAAGAATGCAGAGTGAGGAACACCAGTCTGTTGTACATGGTTGTACACAACTCAAACTACCGTAAGAGCACGAATGCACGCAGCCGGCAGGTAAGTAAATCTATCTATCCATCGGCCAATCGATCTGTTTATCTGGACAGATTCAGTCACATAGGATATGCGTGCTTTTACGCCGGTGTGTGTGTGTGTGTGTGTATGTATGCACACTTCTGCATGGAACTGCTGCAGCATGCTGTGAGTCGTTTCTTCGTCTGTGCCAGGTTTGTGCATCTTGTGTGCTGAGCAGATCCGAGGAACAGCGGCTGTGGTTCGCGCCGTGGACGGGGCAGGGTCTGTAGGGCATTCTTCAACGAAGGCTGAGAAGATGCATGTGCCTTTTGACTAGCCCTGCCCAACACGACCCGAGTCCGGAAGTAGTGCTGACTCAGCATCACCTTCTCAGCCTTGACCTGTTGCCGGAAGCGCGGTTGGACTTCGAACAAATTTTGAGAAACAGCTGTTTGCTACTGACTTCGTGCTGGGCCCCTTGTGGCACCACGCTCTTCAAGCTGTTCTGGCCTCTGCTTTTGCCAAGGTGCCGGCACAAACACTTGGGGCATCGCAAAGGCAAGGCGTTTCCAGGCCGTCAAGGACCTTGCAGGGGTCATGTGTGTCGGCTTAGGTAGCCGATGCGTACAAGTTCGTATGTTTTGGAACAGGGACCAAGATAAGTCGATGTCAGTGCCAGGACGCTAAGAGCAATGGGGTGGCACACAGCCCGTCGGGGTGCGGCCCTCAGGATCTATCCTATGGCAGGGGACGCCTGTGGCATTTGTAGAAAGCGAGTGCATATGATGTCGAATAAATAATCGCCGTAGAACATAGGCTATAGATAGAGAATGCTAAATTTCAGGAACCAAAGATATAATGCAAAGTTGTTCACTGTTGGCATGATTTGAGGTTCGAGCTGTGGCTCGAGGCAGATGAGAGACAACCTTCTCAACGGCAAGCGGCCCAGTTCAGTGCAGATCTGTCCGGGCTGAAGCCGCCCCTGTAGTTTCAATATGCTTGAAGATTGTACGAACCAGTAAGGAAATCTTCAGTTCGTGACGGCGGAGGGAGCAGTTAAGTGAGACCCATTTGGGACTCATAGTATGTCATCGTACTTTCATTGCGAATCTGGCTCTGGAGAGTCAAAAGGCCTCGGAATCCTGTATCTCGCGCCGCAGCTCCTCAGAATGTTTGGAGGTGGCTCCGGTTCTGCCTCGGGAAGCTACTCCCATCCTGAAGGCAGTCCCGCTAAAGCTGACAATGACAACCTCGAGCCTCACTCCACTGGGGAGCATGGTCATGGGTGGGAATCGGTGGGAACATTCATCTTAATTAATAACAGTAGTGTTTTGGAGGTTCCTAATTGGTATAATGGCTGTAAAATATACCCCCCCGAAATGGGTGTCATCATTTCGATGACTGCTGCTCGATAACGGAAAGGGACCTGCTCTGCTGCATCCCTGGAAGTCGAAGCGCGAGAGATCGTGGGTTGAGTGTGGGGTTTCGAGTTTCGGCCTTATTTCAATGGTTTTTCGGGTCTCTTGGAGTGCATACAACATAAGATGTAGTCTCGGCTTTATTTCAATGGTTTTTCGGTTCTCTTGGAGAACATACAACATAAGATGTATTTTGGATAAAGCCTCGGTTTAGAGCCGCTTCTTTTCCGCTGACCTCCCAGGAAAGGCTGGCGTGAGTGGGACATACAGCAAAGCAAGTGGGCAGGGCCCCTGGAATCTGAAACGCTTGCATCTTGCGTCTAGGTTTGTGTATCTATGAGTATAGCAATATAGTTATAATGAAATACAACATTAAAGTTTGAATTCCAGCGTGTACATGGACGGTGCATGGACACTCTCTATCACTCTAGGCGGTGAAATTCTGAGTTGGTCAGACACTCGGTCTGTTGAGGAGCACACACACTATTTGTGGAGGGGTAGGCATGTGTTAAATTCACAGTGCGCCATGTCTTAGTCATAGCGTCATAGCGTCTGAACGACTTCTAAGACCCCACACATCGACGCATCGAGGTCCAACGGCCGGAAGCTGGCGTCGTTAGTCGTGGAAAGGCGAGAGGTGTGTAAAGCTTCTGCACACTTGTTTCGGATTTCGGACACTCTCTCCTCCCACTTTTCAGAGCACGGAGCAAGTCCAAAAGTGGTTCCAAAACCCTGGCAGGTGCGTCCGAAAGCAGGTGTGACCCTGCCAAAAGCAGAGGTGCCATGGGATCAGTGTGGACGTATCGACAAAGTCCGTTTGAAGCAGGAGTAATTAGTGGACAAAGCCGTGTTGTTGGTTATCGGATCGTGGTTGCAGAATTGCTTGCCGCTGATACAGGGGAGAGTTGTGGAGCCTCTTTCATGGCACCTTATGTGCTTATGTGGCTATATGGCTCGAGCTTAAAGAAAACAGTTTGAGATTGTGCGTGACCCACATCCGCCAACATGGGATACCCCTCGGCACCGGGAAAAGGTGGCTTTGGTGCGTATCCTCAGAGTCTTGATAAGCATTAAAGCCTGCTGCAGCTGCTGCTGCTGACGACGACGATCATTGAACTGCTACTGCTCCTGCTGCTGCTTCTGAGCCCGTTGCTGTCGCTGCTGCCCCTGCTGCTGCTGATGCTAATGGTGCTACGACTCCTCCTCTTCTCCGTGCAGCTCGAGCTGCTTCTTTGTGTTTCTGGTACAGCCATCACGACCACCTGGCACGATGCAGCCACTGCTCCTCCTCCTCCTCCTCCTCCTCCTCCTCCTCCTCCTCCTCCCCCTCGACTTGCGACGACGACAGATATCTCGATGCTGCTACCGCTCCGGGCACTCGTGCTGTTAGTCGCACTTGCTCAGATGAGGAGCAGACTCTACTTGCAATAGAGTCCTCAGTATGCCGATGATATGGTGATGTTCTCGTCTTTGTTGTCGTCATCGTTGTGATGCTACTGCCAAGGATCGGTACGAGTGCCGAGCCCCTTCCGCAGCAGCGCGCCCCCGCGCCCACACCCGAGCCGGTGAAGTCCGATGCGACTTGGAGTTCAACAGCTTCGATTCCGGTCATGGGTCTCGAGTTTAATGAGCTTCGAACGAGGCAAGGCTGCTTTGCCTTCATGCAAGCACAGGGATTACAAGCGTGTCCGATCTGAGGATGATTGGAAATCCCAGATCCGTCGGCCCCCAGCAGATCAACGCTTCCGCCTCTCAGCTAACAAAAGACCACTGCCTGGTCCAAAGCACGGGGAATCATCCTTCACAGTGGCTCAAGACGGAGCGCAGCCAAAGTAGAAGAACGGCAGGCTGCACGCAGGGATGGTGCAAAACGATTTCGCTTGACGAGCCATCTTTCAGAGTCTAACCAGTAAAACTGATATAAGAGCTGTGAGTTTAGGGGCCATGTGCCCGAGCCGAGACATGGCACACCTCTTTGTTGCCCTCTCTACCTTGTACCTGGCAGCGGGTAGCGGAAAACCTCATGTGTTCTTCATCGTGGCAGATGACTACGGTTGGGGCAACTTGGGTGTCCATCGTCGGGATGCTGGGAATTCCCTGGAAGAGCTCCAGGGAAAGTTGGAGGTTCATACGCCCACTCTCGACAGGCTTATCGAAGAAGGAATCTTGTTGGACCGGCACTATGCCATGCATCAGTGCGCCCCCAGCCGATCCTCCTTGCAGTCAGGGAGGCTTCCGGTGCACGTGAACTTGGCCCTGTCCGACCAAGACTTGATGAAAACAAATCCGAAGGACCCAGTGAGTGGCTATGCAGGGATCCCGCGGAATATGACGTGCATCGCGGAGAAGCTGTTCTCGGCTGGGTACAGCACTCACATGGTCGGGAAGTGGGATGTCGGAAGTGCGACGCCGCAGCACTCACCAAAAGGGCGGGGATACGAGACTTGGTACGGCTTCTACGGTCATTCCAACGAGTACTGGCACGCGACAAACGCGATGACTTCAGCATTCGGAACTGTTGATGTGTGCCTGAACCAAATGATAGATCTGTCCATGCACAATACGAGCTACTGCGGTCCCGTTCTCGACGATCCCTTCTGGTCAGCTGTGTGCGACAGCGAGGATGGGAAGGAATCGGAACCGGCATGTTACGAAGAGCATCGTTTCAAAGAGAGAGTTCTGGAGATCATCCGGTTCCATGACACGGAAAAGCCATTGTTCCTTTTGTATGCCTTCCATTTGCTTCACACTCCTTTGCAGGTGCCGCAGGTGTGGCTGCGACGAATCGATGAGCTTGTTAAGGGGGCAGGTGGCCATCCGATTGATTCCAAGAATCGACGACTGTATGCTGCCATGACTCTTTACATGGATGCCGCAATAGGTGAAGCAGTGGAAGCCTTGAAGAAAAAGAATATGTATGACAACACGTTGATCGTCTTCGTTTCCGACAACGGCGGTCCACTCTATCAGCCCGGTGGTGCCTCAAACCATCCTCTGCGAGGAGGAAAGCAATCCCTCTTTGAAGGAGGTCTCCGAACGAATGCCTTTGTCTCAGGCGGTTTCGTACCTGAATCTCGACGTGGGACGAAGTTTGAAGGAGTCATAAGCATTGCGGACTGGTACGGGACGCTTGCAGAGCTTGCCGGTGTGGACGTCGAGGATCCAAAAGCCGAGGCGGCCAACAGGTGGCTACGGGAAAAGGGCCTCCCTCTGCTATTTCCGGTAGACAGCGTGCCGCAGTGGCAAAACGTCCTGCAGAACCGCAATGGCAGACCTGATCCTTTGCATCTGAGCCCAGAGGTCCTGCTGATGTGGCCATACAAATTGCTTACTGGCAAAAGCTGGTTTGGTGGCTGGACAGGGCCCGTCTATCCGAACTGCTCCACTCTGCAAAGCATTGCAAATCAACAGGGACCAATAGCCGTACCGATACATTCGAATGTTGCTACATTCTTGCCCGAGTTATCCGACGAAAGCAAGGAGTTGCAAGCCTGGACTGTCGATTGCAGTGAGGGTTGCCTTTTTAATGTGAGGGATGATCCGACGGAGCACGTGGATCTGGCCAAAGATCCGGACTACACATCTATCTTTCGAACCATGCTTGAAACGCTGCAGCTCATGAACAAAGACATCTTCGATCCCGAACGTGGATCGCCGAGTGTGGAAGCTTGTATAGTGGCTATCGAGCACAAGCGCACCCTCGGCCCCTTCGTAGACGTCGGCGAGTTCTACAGCCCTACACCTGCGAGGAGTCCAGATCAGCAAGCTGAAGATGCGGTACTGAGTTCCACACTGCGCATCATGAACATGGACAAGAACAAGCTACGGCTTGTCGAGGAGATGTTGGAGGAGGCGAAGCATGCTCCGCATGACTTTGACACCTGCCTGGTGCCGATGTTTGGGGATGTACAGCAGTAGGTTTCTGCGTGACCATCGCGTACCATCACCCCGTCAGAACGGCAGGGCGCTTATGACGCTTCTGCTCGTTGTAGTAGGACGCCTGCTTCGCCAGGCTGAAAATCTTACTACTAAGGCTACTAAGCAGTGTTTCTGTGCATTTGCATGTTGCAGAAGCTTTCCCATAGTTTTCGCTTGTCCCCGGCAACTAAACTATTGGCCACCCGTACGTCGTTGGTTGATTTGGTTTTGCGGCTGGGTGTAGGACCACTGCAGAGCCTGGAAAGAGCCAGGCGAGGCTTTCATGTCGTTGTTCAGTCGTCTCACCCTAGGTGGCAAGTGCATTGTTGCGCGAGGCGTAACGCCAGTCCCTTGTGGCCGTGTGTCCGACACCTCGCCCGAGCTTCTGACTTTACCCTGCAATGCGGGCTCGTCCTAGCCAGTTGGGAGGCAAAAAGACCGCATATGCCTCGTCTGGATTGTCCGAGTGTGAGCATAGAAAACACCAAACCCTACACTGCTACACTTTGCCGAGGCACGGAAGATGTGACGGCCACCAAGGGCAATGACTTTGAGGATTATTTCCTGAAGCGTGAGCTTCTCATGGGGATCTTCGAGATGGGCTACGAGAAGCCATCCCCTATTCAAGAGGAGAGTTTGCCAGTCGCACTGGCAGGGAAATCCATCTTGGCCCGTGCTAAGAACGGCACCGGCAAGACCGGAGCCTTTGTAATTCCCATCCTCGAGAAGTGCAATACCACCAAGAAGCTGGTTGGCACTTGGGGAAGCTGTTTATCAAATTCCCTGATGGTCCTGCATGGAGAGATACTGTCCGTAGAGGAACCTACTCATAAGCACGTTTGTTTACAGAGGTATATACCTATTCATAATAATTACTTCTGGAGACAACCCAGGAATGCCATCCAGGGACTGATTTTGGTACCGACCCGTGAGTTGGCATTGCAGACATCCTCGGTGGTGAAAGAGCTGGGGAAGCACATGAAGCTTGGTCAATCTTTGGGATTCAGTATTTCGGGTTCGGTTCATAGTATTTCGCAGGGGAGCCCGCAACCGAGGAATGTGCAGTGCATGGTCTCGACCGGTGGAACAAGCCTTCGAGAAGACATCATGCGCCTCTACAACGAGGTACATATCGTCGTCGCAACTCCAGGGCGTGTCCTGGATCTTGCGAACAAGAATGTGTGCAATTTGAAGCAGTGCCAGATGGTTGCAATGGACGAGGCTGACAAGCTTCTCTGCCCAGAGTTCCAGCCGATCATTGAGGATCTCATCAAGTTTCTGCCCCCAGACAGACAGATCCTCATGTACTCCGCGACCTTCCCAATGACCATCCTGGAGTTCAAGAACCGATTCATGAACGAGGCCCACGAGATCAACCTGATGGATGAGCTCACCCTGAAGGGCGTGTCGCAGTACTACGCCTTTGTGGAGGAGCGCCAGAAGGCTGCTCTGAGTAGACTCGGGGATTCCCTGCTGTAGTAGACTAGTAGATCTATATCGGAGACCCTACTTGCGGGCTGAGGTCCATTGCCTGAACACGCTCTTCTCCAAGCTGCAGATTAATCAGGCCATCATCTTCTGCAACTCGGTGACTCGCGTGGAGCTTTTGGCGAAGAAGATCACAGAGCTGGGCTACTCTTGCTTCTTCATTCACTCACGGATGTACCAGTCGCACAGAAACCGAGTCTTCCACGACTTCCGCAACGGTGCCTGCCGGTGTCTAGTGTCCTCGGACCTTTTCACGCGTGGCATCGACATCCAGTCTGTGAATGTCGTGATCAACTTTGACTTCCCCAAGAACTCCGAAACCTACCTCCACCGAATCGGGCGATCTGGCCGATTTGGCCACCTTGGTCTGGGCATCAATTTTGTGACCTACGAGGACCGGTACAACCTCTACCGCATCGAGAAGGAGTTGGGCACAGAGATCCAGCCCATCCCCGCCACTATCGACCCAGCGACCTACACCTGAGAGATGATCATGCCCGAGAGCGATATTTTGAGATGGCATGCGATCCGCAAGAGATAAACTGACAAAAGCGCGCATCCCATATTTCTTCCAACTCTACGTCCATTCTTGTGCCACAATAAGTTTCGCCTGTCAGCCTGAAGTTCGCAACCAAATTGGATCGCAGCCCTGTCCTATATGAATCATCACAATTCGAATAGCTATAGGTGCAGTCCAACCGAGCCAGCCGGCCAATCGCTTTGACCGAGCAGGCCACTGCAGCGATGGTAGTTTGCGGCACATCGTGCAGACGCCGGCGCATGATCCACACATACATGGATGCTTGTACATAGTACATATGTACACAGTGATCTAGTGATGCATCTGCAAATGTCTTAAGACTAAGCGCATGCGCAGCGCCGAGTGATTCGAAGAGACTCTTCAGAGGTTTCCGCGAGCTTTTGGCCCAGGCTCATTATGAAGCCGGGAGCTGGCACCTGCACCAGTGGAAATGAAACGGAGATGCTAAGCGCCTGCTCCGAGAAAAGCTTCTGCATGCTTGGGCGATCTGGCGGTAGTGGTGTGACTATAGTACAGCTACGCTACAGCATCGCACACCGTACGAGTATACTATCGGAAGCTTCCAAAGTCTTTTCCAACTCCGCGAGGCTGAAGTGCAGACGTGTGTCGAGGAGCAGTTGGCAGTTCGTAGACAGGGGCTTTACCTTGGGAGAGCCACGGGCTTTGTCTTTTCAGAATCCAAACTGTCAGCTGGAGTTTGCTGCCTATTGTGTTTTGCCTTGGTCTTGTTTGGTCGCTTCACGTGACGAGCAAAAGCCAAGGCAACTGTCGACAATACACGCATGTTGCAAGCTTGGCGGTCCGACAGTGTTTGCTTCGTGTACAGCTGGCTTCACGTCACCCTATCGAGTTCAGTGCTTTGTTCCGTGCTCATTTCCAAGAGGCTATGAGGTGAGAAACCCGAGTTCCCAAATTCAAGCAAGAACACACCAAGCAACACCAGTCCCAAACTGGCCCAGCACCGTATTCAAAATCCCACTGCCAAGAGCCAGAGCAGCTCGCTTCTTTGCTAGCAAACCTCAAGGCCACAATTCTACAAGCTCAGTGGACACCATAGTATGTCTGACACCTCCAACCCAGCAACGCAAACTTAAGTCTCCGTACAAGTCCCGCTCATTCTTCCAACCCAGGAGCGGATGCAAGCCTTGCAGGTTAAAGAGGCTGCAACGCAGACGCTAGCCCGGGTACATCAGAAGCTGGTGCCCCAGTTGCCCAGGCCAGACCTGCTTCTGATGTGGCCGAAGTTTTGATTTTAGCGGTTAGTGTGGTTTTTGGATTCGCCTTGCTGTCAAGGACGGCTTCTGGCCACCACACAGCCTCAAAGCCCAAAGCCCTCCTTCACGTGATGAACGGCACGTGACTTCCCAGGCCCATAGACACTAATGGCCATGATGCCGGCATCTCAGGAACCTTCAGGGTGAGGGCTGTACGGTGGCCTTGTCTGCAGCTGCTGAGGCTTCCATTGCCTTGAGCTCAATGGCGCTCGGCTCCTCAAGCCAAACGTCTCCACAGCACCGGCCTTGGGCCACTGCAAAGTCGTAGAGGGGGAGTGAGCAGGCTTGATCGGCACAGCACAAGAGAGCTCCTCCGGGCAAGGGGCAAGAGTCACCACAAAGCGGGTGCTGACAAACCTTACCGCGGCGGCAGTACCGTGCCTTGGCTGGCAAACTGCTTTGCAGGCATGTCGTTTTGGCCCGCAGTGCGTGCTGGTTGTGTTTAATGAGGACACCCTGTTGGGAGTTGCGGCGGAGTCACAGGGGTCTAGGAGGCCATCGGTGAGGCCTGGAAAGCTTTTGTTGCTTGTTTTTGAGCCCTCTGTGCGAAGCACTTTGCAGGTTGGACTCACCTTCACCTTCAGCTTCACCGTCCCCTCCCTCTGGGTCTGGGAGTGACCGTGCCAAGGGCAGCCGCGGCACCAAGAGCGACAAAGCCGTAGCGCTGACAGCGCAAGAGCATCAGCCGAAAGGTTCATACTTGGAGGTAGTTACCGTATAAGTGGGGTTATAAGTCCCCCCATCTGGGTCATAGTTACAGTTACCCTACTTATAAATCCGTTTGTAACCACCCATGAGCCTCCAAGTAGTCTCAAACCCTCATTCGGGCTTGGCCTTGTATTGGAAACTGCAACCGCGAGAGAGAAGCGCCCCTTGGTAGCCAGACGGTTGAAACCCGCAATAGCGGTGTTGTAATCTATGTGTTTGTTTGTATATACTACACACATATACATTTATATATACGTCTCCTAATTATCGGTCTGCTGGTTAGGAATTAGGAGATCAGTTTCGCGATCGTTGGAACAGACTTGATCTATTTTCTCCGTGGCCATTTTGGCGATAGCCGATCGGGCCATACCGAAAAATCGGCGTGGGAGGTAGAAGTGAATAGGCTCGCTCGATCGCAGCCATGTCGTTCCCTCCCGCTGGCTTCCATCAAGGTCGGCAGATGGCGGCTCCGATGGCCCCACAGTTCGGGTTGCCTCGCCGGCTTGGTCAGCCTGAGAATCCGGGTAACTGGGGACACTACGTTCCAGGCGAGGCAGAGGCTCCCGAGAATCCCGCGGCTCCAGCTGCCGCATCCGGCGATTGGGGCTCTGCAGGCTGGGGTCGCGACGATCGTCATGGACGTCGTGACCGCGGGGCTCCTGCTGCCCACAACCCCTTCGCTGTTCAGCGGCCTGAGTTCGTTCGCCAGGTCGTGGTCGAGGAAGAGGACGAGACCCAGAACTCGCTCCTCGTCATCGACAACCGCGATGACCGGGTGATCTCCCCGTTCCAGAACTGGCTGGCCGAGGAGATCATCTCGAATGCCGCCAGCTCGATCAATGTGCTGACGGAGCGGGACTCGGTCATGCCCCCGAACTCGGGCTACCACTGTTCGCTGTTCGCGAACTATACGCTCGATGGCATCAAGGCCGTTCTGCTCTTTTCGATGTCTTCGAAAACAGGGGGACCATGTGCTCAGTGGGACTCCTACGCGAGTCGGGCGCTATCGCACCCGGCTTTCCAGCCCTTCACTTGGCCGGTGATGTTCGACACCTCGGCCACCTATGTGGATGTGAAGGTCTTCAATGGAAACGAGGTCCTATTCCATTGGGTCTTCAGGGGCTACCGCTCGGACTCGGATCTTTCTGTCCAGCAGCAGTTCTGCGACGAGGTGTTGATCCGGTCAGCCAACGAAGGATGGTTCCGACCCTCGATCGTCATCTCGGTCTTCGTTGGATGGAAGGTCTCCGTGACCTCGTTCGAGGTTGGAGCCCGAGTCTACACGATCGGTCCGAGAGGAGCAGTGATGGCGAGCGACCATGCCATGAGCACCTGTGAGCTCAGGGTGACAGAACGCTCGTCCCGTGAAGGCTATGGGAACGACGCCGATCGTGTTGAGTTTCGGTTCCGGGACGCCAATAACCGGATCGATCTCAAGTGCGGGAGGACTTCGGTGCCTGGCACGTGGCTCACAGTCAGCCACATCTCGGGCCCCGCTCTGATCAGCACGATCCAGGCCTGTCGGACCCAGGTGCTCGCGTGGAAGGTCCAGACCACATCCAGCAGTTCGCGCAGCTGTCTGCGGTGATCGCCCCCTGGTACCACAGTGCGTTCGCCCACGAACAGGTGCAAGTGGGAACTGCGACAGACGAGTTCCCGATGGATCATGGGAACTTCCACGTACGGGCTAGATCTAAGCTCAGGGTCTGCCCACTGGAGTTCGTCCGGCAGGAGGCGCTCGCCCACCGGTCGCACGATGAGAACAACGCCGTTCGAGCTCGGAACGGCCCCCCGGCTCTCATGGAAGAGGCGGCTCGGCAGGCGGTTCAGCAGCTGGGCTCCTCGGTCACTTCGGCGCTCACCAACATGCCCACCTCGGCTCAGCAGGTGTTCGACCAGAGGGTGAGCACTGTTCCGGTGCCGGAGGAGGGCCAGCTCGGCCAGGAGCAGATCGCCGAAGAGGTCGTCACCGACGCCCGCGATCGCATGAGGGCCGACATGCGATTCTCGCGCACGTCGGCTGCGATCACGCCTCAGGTTTTCACCGACGTGCTCCAGCACCGTGAGCAGGCGGAGTACGAGCGGATCAGCACGGTCAGGGTGGAGGAGACGGGCCAAGAGATCACGGCTTCCCCCTCCACTACGACCACGGTGCCGAAGGCGTTCGCCCCGGCTTACCCGCCGGCCAGATCGTCAACGGGGCCCTACACGATGGACAATACGGAGTAGTTGTCGATCGAAGCCTAGGTGATGGTCGGTTTTTGTGCACGCTCCTAAGAGAGTGGTGCGCCGCGCGACCGAAGCCTCCTGGCGGATCAGCCGGGCTCTTCCGCGGAACAAACATGCCGAGCGATCCTCTCGGCGCGCTAGATCCCAGCGCATGTTCTGCCGGAAGTGAGATTGATCAATACCTGTCTCAGGCACGGCGCTCGGTTACCATTAGCAGGCACGTGCGATCGTTCGTGCAGCTGTTCAGGCCCAGCATGGATAGGTCCGTTCGGAAGATCCTATCCCTCCCCCTGTTCGGGGATGAATTTTGCCAATGGTTGGTGGATCTTCGGATGGCTCAGTTCGAGAAGCTCACGGCTGTTTCGGACGGGACGATCGCTGAGTGTGTGCAAGCATTCATTGATCTTGTCCCTGCCCTCGAGGAACTCCACACGCCAGATCGGCGGAAGAACGAGGAGGAGCTCGGCAGGTGGGTTCCGTCGATCGAGCTGTTGTTTGTGCTGGTTCGTAGCACGGCAGCAGCGGGCTGGGCTGATCTGGCCACTGATCTGGGATTCGGCTTGGCTGAAGCTCCGGTCGTCTTCGGGCGATCGCCACTGAAGTCGAAGGGGACTGGCAAGGAGCCTCCTATGCCATTGCCGCTCGCCAAGAGGCCGCGGGCGATCGAGCCGAGGCCTGAAGATCCGCAGGCATCGCTCAAAACCCGTGAGCTCGGCGAGGCCCGAAAGTGGGGCATGAGGCTGAAAGCGATCGTGGAGAGGTGCGGCGAGCACGCCGCGATCGCGGGCAACCCGAAGCCGGGATCACCCCTGTCTCAAGATGAGATGAATGCATTGAGGTTGATCGTCTTCGAGAGTGGCGGTTTCCGCACTATCCAGCAGTGCGTTCGTCACTGGGAGAGGATTGAGACTTGGGCGAGGTCGCAGAACCTAGCGGTGATCCCGCTGACTACCGACGTGCTCGTCAAGTACCTCTTAGATCTCTCCGACCGAGGTTGCGGCCCCACCGTGATACCTTCGGTACGTGGGGCGGTCAAATGGATCTGCAAGCGGATCGGCTTGTCGTTGCCCGACCTCCTCGATCCCCGGATCATGGCCTTGCAGAAGAAGGTCTATGGCGATCGCGGGAAAGAGACGAGGGAAGCGGTTCCCATCCCTCTGATCTTGGTGGCGGCGCTCGAGCGGTTCGTGTGCGCTCGTTTTAAGTCGAGCCAATTCCCCATGGCGTTCTTCGCATGGTGGGTTCTCGTGATGATCTACTCGTCCCTCAGGTTCGACGACGCGCTCCACGTCGTGCCCGAGGCGCTCGCCCTGAAGGACGAGGCTCTCTATGGGGTGGTTTGGCAGACTAAGGTCGAGCGACAAAAGAAGGGAACGCGGTTCGCGGCGGCCAGAGTCTCCGTCTCCGGATCCGACTGGATGGAAGACGGATGGCACGCAGCTGCGTTCGAAATGGACGATCGCGACTACTTCATGAAAGAGCTCGAATCGGCTGAGCGATTCGCCGATCGGCCTGCCAGCTACCAACGGAGCATCCTGTGGCTGCGGTACGTGCTCACTACTGCAGCTTCGGACGATCTGAAGCGCGGGCACATCTCGCCCGAGCGGCTCAAGGAGCTCCTGAAGATCGTGCCGGAGATCACCTGGCACTCCTGCCGAGTCACGCTGCTCTCGGCGGCGGTCCAGGCGCAGGAGCCCGATAAAGAGATCGGGCTCCAAGCGAACTGGAAGGATCCAAGCCAGCTGGTCCTGAAGTACGCTCGGAGCCGCAAAGAGATCTCGATCGAGATGGTCAAGCGGCTCACTAAGAGGATAGCATCCGACTGGAAATCTCCACCGGAGTTCGATGCCGACGATACCAATCTGGTCGACTTCGGTGATCTCGCTCTGACCTATGTCACCAAGGCCAGATCGGCTGCGGGGTCCTCAAGGGATCTGAGTCTTAAATATCATGCCATGTATATAGATGGTACGGGCACGGAGCGAACGCTCTGCGGCCGGTACGCGATCACCGAGTGCGAGGATCTCGGCGAGATTCCGCCGAGTACTCAGATGTGCTCGTTGTGTTCCGGTAAGATCTTTACGGAGCCGTGAACACAGCTGTTCGCAGTCACGATGGCCACTCGAGCTGAGCCTCTCCCTGACCGTAGCTTTTCTTTTCAGACAGCTCGTTAGGCAGCCATGGTCGATCGCACCGCATACGCGAATGAGGCGGCGACCCCGAAGCTGAACCTGCGCCAGATCTTCGGGAGACAGGGGCTAGATCCAGCCCTCTGCAGGCTCTCGGCCGACAAAGGTCTCCTCACAGTCGAGATGTTCGCAATGCTGGGGCAGGATCTCACCTCGGCGAAGGCGACAATCCGTCGGCTGTGGCAAGATGACTTGACCCCGCTCGGGGCTGATGCGGCAGCACAGGAGCTCTCCGTGATGTCCTTGGCGGCGGTGTGGCAAGCTGCTCAAGCGCTGCAAACGCAATACGCCTCTCGGCGAGCTCGTATGGAGGAAGACCCGAACAAGATCCCGGAGCTCTCCCAGGAGGACCACGCGGAGTTTCGCGATCGCTTCGTGAGGGTTCACCCCGACGTCATCCTGATCGACGCCAAAGAGCCGCATAAGAAGTTCGTCGAACGGCTGTCCCGCGATTTCCTGATCCATGGGATAGTTCCATTCTACGAGCCGGCCGAGATCAGGACCCGATCGGATGTTATAGTGGTCAAGTCTGGACTTTCTCGGAACGCCGAAGATCTCCTGTCCATCTCTAAGGCTGATCAACCCGAGCCGGTCA